TGTGCGACTTGGGGGGCCTCTGTGTCGTGTGGGGCCTGTGAGACTTGCGACGCTTGGGAGACCTGTGGGACCTGTGGAACGACCTGCGACACCGATGGGTCTTGTGGGACCTGTGGGATCTGTTTGATCTGTAAGGCCTGCGGGACCTGCGAAACCTGTGAGATGTGCGAGACCTGTGGGATCCAGAAGTGGCCAGAGCGCCATTCTGAACGACGAGAGCACATCACCTATCCGACAATGAGGCCCACGCTACAGCGAGGACACCATGTGAAAACCTGAGAAAGACCAAGTTGTTGCACTCAGAGTATTAGCTAAGACAGCATCATGGATTCTTGGAGTAAAACAAACAGTGTTCGGAAAGGGCAGAGCCATGCCCCAGATAATTTCAGAAGAAAGATGGAAGTAGTTATCGGAGGAAGTGTGGAGGATTGGGAGGAGGGAGAGGGGACGGACGTGGGACGGAGGGGCGGAGTGGGAGGAGGGGTGAGGAGGAGGGGTGAGGAGGAGGAGGAGGAGGAGGAGAGGAGGGGGGGAGGAGGGGGGGACGAGGACGAAGACGAGGACGAGGAGGAGGATCTGATTGGGAGAGGCTGGAGAAAAGGGAGGGGATCAGGAGGAGGAGGAGGAGGAGGAAGGAGAAGAGGAAAGACGGGAGATAGAGGAACGGGGGCAGAGGAGGAGAGGAGAGGAGGAGGGAGGGAGGGGGGGGGGAGAAAAGAGGGGAAGTCTGGATGGACGAGCAGGAGGAGCAGGAGGGAGGGGAGAGGGGAGACGGAGAGACGGACGGAGCAGTAGGCGGGGGGAGCAGGAGGCGGAGGCAGAGGGCGAGGGCGATAAGGATAGGCGCAGCGGATGAGGACAGCTGCCCCTGCCGCACGGTGTCCACGCCGTGCGGGCCCCCAACGGCGAGGGGGAGGGCAACGAAGAGAAGGAGGAGGAGGAGGAGGAGGAGGAGGAGGAGGAGGAGGAGAAGAAAAGACGCGCTGCCGCTGGCTTTGAGTGGATGGGGAGGCGGGCGGAGAGCAGCCGCGGCCCGGGCGGGCCCAGGTGCGCCAGGCCACCCCCCGCACTGGCGCGAGGAGAGGTGGGGCGCGGGGGCGGGAAGGTCTTGACCGTCGGGCACGTGCTGGTGTCCAGGGGGAGGGCGGCGCCGGAGCTCGGAGGAGGGCCCGTCGAGGCCACGGCGGCCCACCCCCGGGCGTGGTTTGTCGCTGGGGGGCCTCCTGGGGGCTCTTCTTCGCCGCAGCTGGAGTCCGCCCCGTCAAACGGGTCAGGGCGGATCCCGGGAGGGGTCCGGGGACCGATGTCTGAGCGGGATCAGGCCATGCGGGAGAGCCTTCCTTTGTCTCAGTGGGCATCCGAAGAGTGGTTTGGGCCAGGTTGGTCCACAGGTTCGGCACGAGACAGCCACGGTTCGCCTTAGCCCCAAGCGCGAAATCTGATGGCTTGGACCTCTGATGGGTCGAGGGAGAGGGAGGAGGCACAAGGAGCCCTCGCCTCGACGTTCGAGGAAACGCAGACATGGAGTTGGGCGCGGATGCCACCCAGAGGCCCCCAGGAGGCCCCGCAGCGCCCACATTCGCGCGGTCAAGACGTGCATTCCCCTGAGCGGGGTGAGTTTACCAGTTTGAAACATATCCCTATCCCTATGCTTGACATCACCTCACCTCGATGCCGATCTTACGGATTCCCTCAGTTTCTGAGGGCCTATCCCTAAGATAGTCCTCGCCTTTTTTGCTCGCCCATCTTAGGGATAGGGATAAGGTCGAGGCTGGTTATGAGTCCACAAGGGGGCGCCACCAGGGAGCAGTCCAAGAGGCCCCAAGAGGTTTTCAGGAGCGGCCCGAGACGCCCTACGAGGCGTCCCTCCTCTTGCTCGAGTGCTCGTTGTGCCCCTTCCTCCTCGCCCCTGCTTCTCGCGTACTCCATCCTCTCGCGTCCAGGTTCTCTCGCTCCTCCTCATTCCCCTCCTCCCTGCACCTCTTTCAGAGGGCCTTGACAAGGCCTCCCAGAGGGTAAAGGACAACACGCGAACCACCATGGGGCGCCTTGTTTGCATCCCCTTCCTTACCCTCCTCTTTCTCGCGTGTATTTTTGTTCACCTGCTCCACGCTCTCGCCTTCGGCTCTCTGTTTCTCTCCTCCTTTCTCCCTCTCTCTCTCTCTGTCTCTCTGTCTTCTGTCTGACCACTTCAGAGTGCCCCGACAAGGCAGCGAACGGACAACACGGGAACCAACGTAGTGCGCCTTGTTTGCATGTTCATCCTTGCCTTTCTCTTTCGCACGAGTCGTGCTGACCTGTGCTCCAAGATTTGGGTTCGTGGCGCTATCAGGGTATGCCCCAGGCGCGCATGCAGCCCGCACGGGTGCGCAACGGCGAGCACGCGTCAAACGCATGTCCGTCCTGGCGCCAGACCGCCACGGGCCTCCTGACGGACGTGGACGAGGACATCAAGGCGTGGATGACGCAGAAGGCGGGTGAGATAAAGGGCAGAATACATGTTCGCACGGCTGGTGCCACACAGCCCGCCCCCAGCAGAAGTGCGGGCCACTCAGTCTTTGGACCTCACCATGTTCTGGACCTTGCTTCTGATTACCAGTATTGAGTTGCAACGGGAGGCAGCCTGCGTCGTCACATCCCAGGCACCCGCAACTCAGCTCAATGTTCCAATGCCGATCGGGGTACGTAGCCTACCTCAGTTTAGCTCAATATACTTTGTATCGATCCCCCATTTCCTGTCATACTCATCGTTTTATTATTCTTCTTCCTCCTCCTTCTCCTCCTCCTCGTCATCCCCCTGTTTCTCATCCTAGCCCCTCCTTCCCATCCACCTTCTCCGCCTTGCCCTTACGTCCTTATCATCCTGCTGCTCATCCTACTCCTCCTCATATCCTCCTCCTCGTCTCCTTCTCCTCATCCTCCTCCTCCTCTTCGCTGTCATCATCATCATCATCATCATCATCATCATCATCATCATCATCATCATCATCATCATCATCATCAGCATCAGCATCAGCATCAGCATCAGCATCAGCATCAGCATCATCATCCTCATCACACGCATCATCCTCACCATCATCAGCATCATGCGTGCGCGAGGGCAGCCGCTGCGGAGGAGTGCCGCCCAGCCCTGTGGAGCCTCGAGTACGACGCGCAAGAGCATTCTGGCGAGGGCGTCGCGCTGAAGAGAGCCGTGCTGGGGTCCTGCAAGCACGAGGTCGTGAAGCATAATCGTGGGCCCGTGTGGCCGAGAACGAGCTGCAGGCGAAATACGTGAACGTCAGGGGCGAAGGCGAGGGCTCCGGCAAGCAGCGGAGGAAGAATGGCGACCGCGCGAAAATCGCCAAGCGGAGGGTCCAGCAGACGGTCGAGGAGGACAGCGTGAAGGAACGGAAGGGCTGCAAGCACGGACGCCCGCCTGACGCGACGGCGGACCCACGGCTCGAGCTGCCCGTCGGCGGATCAAGGGCCGCTGCGCGAGCACGGCGTGGATGGCCGTGAGCATCTCCGCGGGATGTGCTGCGAGGAGAAGATGGCCGGTCTGCTGGAGCTGGCCGAGGTCTGGCACTCCCGCTCGGACCGTGCCGGAAGCCCCCTCGCGTGGTAGGCCGCCGCGGCTGCCGTGGCTCCGCTCGGCAAACTGGCGACCGCTGGCCCCGCGAGGCCGACGTCGCGCGTGTCTCGGGGGGCGGGGATGCGCGACCGCCTGGCGACGGACTTCCTGTCATGGCCCTGTTGGCCTCATGCAGGGGGGGGGGGTCGCGCAGTCAATCCGCATTGGGAGGATGAGCAACTTGCCACGATTACCCTGACATCCTCCCCCTGTCGGCACATCTTTGGCCGCCTTCGCTGGCCGCGACCCGCCCGCAAAGTGTCGGCGTGGCCTTCAATGCCCCTGCGTCCTTACCGTGCGTCCTTCTTATACGGGTTGACTGTAGGGGGCGGCTCGCCTGTCGTGGCGTCTTGGGGCGTCTCTCGTCGCCTGCCGCGCTGGAGTTCTCTCGTGCAGCTTCGAATGCGCGGGTCGCGCGGCAGCCGATCCTGCCGCAAGTGCGGGCTGTTTGGCTCAGTGGGCAAGGCGCTGCCGACGCTCGCGCCACTGGAGACGGGCTATCACCACCGTCGCCATCGCACAGTATCAACATCATCAACATCATCATGGTCATCCTCCTCCATGTCATCATCATCGTCGTCGTTGTCGCCGTCGTCGTCAGCATCATCATCGGCATCGCTATCCTCATCGCCACCTCATAGCGATCCTCCCCCCCTCCTCCGCATCCGCATCCTCCATTCCCCCTCCTTGTAAGCAACTCCCCCCTGGCGCACGCCCCAGACTTGCGGGCAGGGCGGGCCAGGCATTTGGAAGTTGCAGCAACCTCACGGATGGAGGGCGACTTGCTTTCAACGTGTGGTTCTCGCCTTGGCGCAACGCCCGCTCGTCTCCAAAATTTGCTGGAGCGTCAAGGATGGAGGGTGTTACGTGTTCAAAATGTGGCTCTCGCACTCGCACCGCGTGCAGTCGCTTCAGCGTGTCGGAGTCGCTTAAAGGGATGGGTGGCGGCCCGTGTGGTTCTCGCCCTGGCGTCGCGGACATTCGTGTTAAACGTTTGCAGCAGCTTCGAGGATGGAGGGCCGTTCTTTTCCAAACTGCGGCTCTCGTTTTAGCACCGCGGACACTCGCCCCGAAGGTTCGCAGAGGTTTGCGGCAGGCTCAGGGCTGGAGGGCGGGCCGCCATCAAAACGTCGCCGTCGCCCTGGCGCGGCGAAAACTCGCTTCAACCGCGTGCAAAGGTTTCAAGAAAAGGGAAATGCGGCTCTTGTTCGCAACGTTGCTCTCGCTTGACACCGCAGACATCTGTTGTGGCATTCCGCGGCAGGTTGAAAGCGTCGCAAGGGTGGACATCCCCGGAACGGTGCTCTGGCGCAGCTTAGGATCGTCAGGACGCAGCAACCATGCTTAATTCCCGGCGTTGAAGTCCTTGGGGTGGGGTCCTGGTAGGATGTCAGGTAGGAAGGGCGCAACGGCCACGTTGATGCGCGGCGTTGGAGGCCCAGGGGGGGTGGTTTTCTGGCGCCAGAGGGGACTCTGAGACGGCTGCCGCCCAAAAGGGTGCTTCCCGCAAGGATGCTAAAGTCTTGTAGGGCCTTCGGCAGAAGAAACTTGGAACATCTCTGCTGCGTCTTGGGTTTGCACTGGTCCTCCTCCTCCTCCTCCTCATCTTCGGCCTCCTCCTCCTTCTCCCCATTCGTCCGCCTGTCCGTCTTCCTCCCCCTCATGTCCGTCCTCTTCCCCCTCCCCCCCCGTTGCCATTTTGGCTCAGGGGGCGTTTCTGCTGAACTTCCCAAACCTCGCTCGAGTTGGAAGGCAACGCTGCCCACTTTCGCACCCACCCGTCAGTCAATCGTGCGGCGCGCGGCGGCCACCGCCATTTTTTGCCACTTTCGCGCGCAGCGTCGGCGCTGCCAACAGGCTACGGATCCACCACAGAGCTACCGCCCATCCCATGCGCACGCTGTTCTCGCCAGGGATGCAGGGGGCGGTCCTATGTGGACCGCAATGACAAGTTCTGCTCTCAGTGTGGCTCTACCTTCCCGAAGTCTAGCCCACAGGGGCGGTGTCTCCCAAGTTCGGCGAGAAGTCCTACGGTGAATCGGGCCATCGTGGAGGGAATCGCTGGGCCAGATTCAAAGAAAAAAGACAGGAGGAGAACGGTCGCCGGATCTCCCCAAAGCCCGACGAAGTCGCAGCCGACCCGAGTTCTGCGCAACAGGATCTTGTGGCACGTTGGACGCTTCGCGAAGGCGCGTGGGGGGGGGGGAATCATGCCAGAGTCGTGGTTTCCTTCGAGCAGGCGAAGACCTGCGCTCTCCAAGGCAAGCTCTTGGAGCAACAGTGCCAGTTTCTCCACGATCCGGTCTCCGCCGCCCGAAGTAAGATCGCCGAGATCAGCGGCCTCGCCGACCAGGTCGCCACCCTCCAGTCCGACAAGGCCACCGCCATCGCCGAGCTCAAGCAGCTGGAGGGCCAGCTGGCAGTCGCAGTCCGCGCCGCCGCAGCCCAGGCCGCCCCTATTTCATCAGGAGCAGGAAGATCTGATTTCTCCCCGAAGGTCTCTCGCTTCATGGGCGAACTCAAGACAGGGCCCGCGGCGGGGGCCCCTCTCATATCCAGTTGCAGATCAAGGAGTTCGAGAGGTCACTCGCCGAGGCCTACAGTCTGCAGCAGGCCTCTGCCACAGAGAACCACGAACCCGTTGGAGTTTCAGTCGAGGCAGAAGATATTCCCACATCTCCGCGAGGACCCGCCGACCCCCAGCAGCCTCAGCCAAAGCAGCTTCAGCAGCCCCCGCAGGGAGCAGCACAGCAGCCCCAGCAGCAGCAGCAGCAGCCTGACACAGCAACGGATATGGACCAGTCCGAGAGCAGCAAGCGCGGGCAGATTGAAACACCAGCAGCCTTGCAGAGGGCGGGTAACACCATGGGGTCAGCAGGGGATCATGGGGACCACGCAGCAAAGAAGCTCAAGCAAGCAGCGGCTGCGGGAGCCAAGAATGGGCCCCGACTATGACACCAGTCGCAGCAGCAAACATATAGTCACTTTGCGTGGCAGGTGTTGGGAAGCTGTCAAAAGTTGTGTCACCTCGTCATTCTCTGAGAATGTCATCGCGATATGTTGCCGAGAGACGCCGAGAGACGCAGATCGGGGACCGCCTCACAGGTGCCAAACAGCGGTGCCACACGAGGGGTGGCATGCAGTTATCTCGTCATGTTTCACTAGCGAAGCCAACCGACCAATGGCGGAGACAGCCATTCTAGTGCGCGCAGTCTTCGATGCGTGCATTCGCCCAGCCACTCTCCCACCTGCAGTCCCTCCCAGCAGGGTCTCACCAGTTATCCTACAGCTCCCAGGGCACTCCCCGTTCACCTTCCTCTTCTTGTCAGCAGGCTTCGGCCAGATCAATCTCGACTTGCCGGCAGCCATCGGGCGGGCGCAAGGCCGCCGCAGCATGCCAGTCTTTGCGGCCGAGGACTTTCACATCCCGCCGTCAGCGGACAAGAAAACCAGTCTTACAGAAAGAGGGGGCCGCCGCGTTATCAGCTCACCGGGCCCGCCTTCTTCGCGAGGGCAATCAGGTCCAAGTTGGACGATTTCATCGCCAGCAGCGTTTCGGGAGAGTCGGCCCACAGCGTCATGGCTCTCACCAGCTACCCGCTCTCGCCGCACAGACCCGTCGCAGCCCAGTTCGGGCTCGGACGCAACCGCGCCCCACCCAGGCCCGCCGAGCCCCAGCAGCCCCCCACGGGGCGCTCAGTTGGCCCCTCACAGGAGCCCCGTCGACTGGGTCAGAGCAGCAGCAGCAGCAGCAGCGCAGCAGCTTCGGCAAATCATTCAGGACCCAGACGCTCTAAATCAGCAACAGCTCGCAGCCTGGGGCGCCGCCCTCGGCGCTGTCGTCCTAGAGTTCGACGCCTCAGTCGCGCAGCGAACAGACGCGCTTC